AAAACACAAGAAACGTACAAAACAATCAACACCATATTCTTTTACATGCATCCGGCCGGTTTGGTGAATATGCAACGCTTGCATAGATGAGAGATGGTTTAACTCGGATGGATAGCAATGCTACTTCATGATGATATCAACCATGAAGGAGGCGGCATCGCATATGTCGACGAGAGGAGAATGCAAATTTAGAGTTCGTGTTAACTTGACAGGGGGAGAATAACAGCTAAGGGAAGAGACGCAGCAGAACATGCCCACAGAGACATTCAAGAGAGAGGAAGTCGACAGACATTCACCTTCGTTTCATCCATCATCAGACAAACATAAGTTGACAAGTACAAGATATATAATACAGCTTCTAGCTTTAAGGGAAGTGCTTGCAGAATGCCTGGGAACTGTTGAGACTCTTCCAAACTTCGTCCTTTGATGGTTAATAAGGTAAGGGGTGCTTGGAAACAAACAGGAACCGAGCTCATCAACTCACCACTGCTCTCCCCACCAATAGATGGAGTTCCAAAAAAAAAAAAAAAAAAACTCACCGCTGCTCTGTGGGCCCATAATTGACACGACCGCGTAGGAAAGCCCGCACTCTGCCAAATGAACAGTTCGAGCGAAGCCCTCCAGGTCCTGAAGTTTGAAGACGCCTGCGCCATCGATGGCCTGAATCGTGATGACCTCCTCTTCGGACCCCATAGCTACGACAACTTAGTGCGTAGTAATGAAAACAGGGGAGGTAAGATGGAGGAGGGGGGGGAGAGTTAGCTTTCACCAGCGGCTACTAGACAAGGCAAAAGAGGACGAGAACAGAAACGAGAGGAGGGTTAGGCTAACGAGAGAGCCGGTCGATAAAATTCTCATGAGAAGAGAGAGGGGAAGGAGCGCGCTCGCTACGCACGCCAACAATTACCTGAGGCACAGCCAGAAAGCACCACAGGGAGAGAGGGAGGCGCGGAAAAAAGGGTGGAGGAGGGTGGAGGAGGGTGGAGGAGGGCGTAGGAGGGTGGAGGGGGGAGAAGGGAAAATGGGAGGGAACGAGAGGTGCGCGTAAGGAAATAATAGTTGGCTGACGACAAACCCTGAACCTCGGCTTATGACCTTTGGCGGCGGCAAGGGTCACCAAGAGCACAGGGACAACGGGATTGATTTGTCCGTGAGCAGACAGATTACATGCTCGTGTGTACAGAGCGGGAAGAAGCGCGCCTGAGAGAACCCGGAGGCAGTTATACAGAAACACCCAGAGAAAGAGAGGTGATGGCACAACTACAGAGAACAAGCGACAGAGATGGGGAAGAAAACGTGGGGTGGAAGACGACAGTCCCTGAGCACTGCTCCGGACGTTGGAGGCGATAAGGACCGCCGAGAGCCACAGGCGCAATTGGGCGGGTAACAGGAGCGGCTTGAGCGGGAAGTGATGAATCACACGCAAACTACCATTGAGCCCTTGGAAAGCCGATTCTGCGATGCTAATTCCGACCTCAGTAGCGCCAATCAATCAACTCACCATGGACGTCGCCACAGTCACTGTGGACAAGCAATGCTCCTGGGAGGCAACACGAGAGAGAGAGAGAGAGGTAGAGAGAGGAGGGTGTGAGAGACCCACAGGAAAGGGGAGCAGGGGAGAGAGGGAGCACGAGAGACGGCGTGCTCCCCCGCGCTCGCCACGTCCCTCCACCTCAGGTCACCAATCTTCGGCCGCTGCTTGGGGAGGAGAGAACGAACCCCGTCGTCCGTTCTTTCCCCCCAGTCCCTGACAAGCTTCCCCGCACAGGATACCCCGCCTTGTCAATGGTTCCAAAGCAAAGTCTGAGAACCCCTCCTCAAAATTCCTCCCCCCCCTTCGCCCCAACCTCCCGGCCCCCTTCTCCTCCCACCACCCGTGGGGAGCCTGCTACTCCTGCAAGACTCCGAAGCACTCCCAACGCAACACTCCCCTCCAAGTGAACTACTGCACTACCGGTACCCAAGGACTTGAGCGTCACTCTGCCCTCGACCTACCTACCGTCGCCACATCAATCAATCGCACACAGCCTCTAGATCGTGTGCCCTACCTACGCGCACGCGAACCCGTGGCAAGAAGGAAAATTCGAGGTATCCACCGAAACCGGGCCTGGTCGGACGTCCACAAGGGAATGTCGGTGGAGAAGTCGGAAATGGCGGAAAGCGGCAAAGAGCGGAAAACGCGGGAGACCAGTACAACATTCCGTCAAGCGAAAATCGCAAAAGACAAAGGGAGTCGCAGAACCGAACCGGCACACGGGCGTAACGTGGCGTAGATGCCCGCGCAATGCCGCCCTTTCCAACGTGTCATGGTCTGCCGCATAATACTGCCCTCTGGAGGAAAGATCCAGCCCGATCACGGTAAACACTGGAGACTAACCGGTAATGTGTGAAATGTCCAGTGAAAATCAGAGTGAGTGAAAAAGAAACACGGATTGTGTAAAATTGCGAGTGTAATCTTCAGGTGGAAGGTGGAAAGATCCACTCGCCATTTCTTTTCCTTCTCGCATTCGCCGGGTGGTGAGGCGATCCGTCGCTGCGCTACCGAGGCTATGCCGAACCACCTGCACACCAGCTGCGCACTACCCTCGGTGGGCCAAATGATACACTGAAGGTCCCAGGTCTTCCGACCAAGGACCAAACGATCTGCACCAAGGACGCGAACTCCAATAGGAACGGACCTGCCCTGCTCTTGCCTAAAAGACCTCTGTCTTCTTGCAAATGGCCAGGCCTAAAAGAGCTCACTGTAAGGATGGCGTCTGTTAGGGTCTGATCCCACCACTACACTACAAATGTAGACGTGAAAAAGGACTAAGAAGATGTCAGTGGCCGTGTCGGGACAAAAAAGAGAAACTGGATCCCACGAGGGCGACTTCTTCGGTGGTTTTCCTGGACCCGCGGCGGTTCTTCATGGGCTGTTACAGACTCTGCCAAACGAAATGCCACACAACACTGGGGTCCATGGACATTTCTGATGCTGCCCTTCGTGGCCGTGCTGCCATGACACACCCAAACGAAAGTAAGGCAAAATATTTTGGCAGCCGCGACGACGTCTGAAACTGGTGGGATCTGAAAACTGCACTGTAACTGGGCTGTAGTGTAGTGGTGGGATCAGACCCTTAGGCCATACCTTTTGGGATTTCTGAACCGGGCAGGCTGGTTTAGTAACGAGTCGTACCATACTTGAGAGTACTTTGCGGCCAGTAGGTGGTGCTTATACACCAGGGCCAGTTTTTTCCTTGTCAGGGTGGGTAGGGCCCAAGCGGTTGCGCAAAGGGCACAAAACTTTTGGGAGGAGTTGGGGAGGGGGCTGGGGAGATTGCTGGGCAAAGGACCACTCAAAGCGGATTGAGGGAAAATCAGGCAACCAATGTTTTTTCAAAGGTATAAGGGCATGAGGCCCAGACCCACACACTATTTCATTTTTCTCCAGCTTTTCACAGTGAGGCCCTCGCCTGGTAGGAGAGATGTGGCGACTTAGGCGACTTTTCGCGTTCATGATAATTGACAAGCAAGTTTGCAAAAAAACTCAATAACAAAGATTGAGTGTTGACCTTTTAAAATAATAATAAAAAAAAAAGTCATATCTCGGTTTATGTGTACCATCCTTATGTGGGCGCCATTTTATTCGTATCGTTCCAATTTTAAAGGATATCCCGAAGGAGCTATGCCTCTTAGAGGCAAGCTCAAAATCACTACGTGGAATGTTAAAGGTTTGTGTAACACACAAGAAACAGACAAAAAAAATATTTATGAATACGTGGATCCATAAGAAAAAAATACAAATAGTTTGCATTCAAAATTTAAGCGAAATGGATAACGACTGCAAACTGAAACCCAATGGTGATTCGACCCTCAGTTTGGGGCACCGGTTAGGGATGGAAATAGTAACAAATTAACAAAAGGTGGTACTGGAATATTATTTCACTTTAGCCTCAATATTGATCTGATCGACTCGATGTGGATATTTGGGGCATAACTCCCTGGGATGGTCCCAAACTGTTCAAATCCAATATTTGCAGCGGACTGAAATACTGTAAGAGTCATGGGTTGGATAGTCCAAGAGTAGATACAGTGAATGTTGATAGCAGACTGCCTCAAATATTTATTGTTTCACGGGGCATGAAAACAAACTCACTAGGTTATACTCGGTATGGATCAGAGTCTCCTCCAATCCAAAGTCGGTTTGTTTTCTTTTCAATGAAAGGTAGCTCACGGGAGTCGTGTGTGAAAATTAACATCGATCTATCACCTTTCTATTATTAATAACAATTGAAAAAGATAATTCTTCAAGTGGAGACAAAATTTCATAAGCATCCAATTTCATATGATACTGGACATACGTGAGACAAAGGGATTTATATTAATTATAAATTATTGAAACAAAAAACAAAAACATTGAAATAATTGTTAACATAAAATATCACTATCACCGGGGGGGGGGGGGGCAAATGAACAAGGAAACATTTCGACATTTATTTACGAAAAACTCAACGTGTTATACGAGATTAACCCTCCCTATTTTCAACCTACCTCAAATCATTGATAACCTTAATGAATAGAGTTAATATGCAAGATTGTACTTTGAAGGCATTTTAACAAGAAAAAGATAGTTTGAAAACATGGATTTTAATCAAAGAGAAATTTTTGATTTTTTAAACGACATTAAAATTCAACCACCACCACATATCAAACTGGTATTGGATAAGCCTATAATATTGGAAAAGTTACATTATGTAGTGAAACATATGAAAAAGGAGAAATGTATTAAAAAAATAGATCACCAATTAAACTCTACACCGCATTATGACTAGATATTGACCCATACTTAATAAATATTTATAATAAGGTTCAATCATGTGAGACTTTAAGTAAAAACATGATCAAATGTGTCATTACATTATTGTAAAAGAAGGGTGAAAATTCGGTGGTGCGAAATTGACGCCTAAGTTTCTTTATTGAATCTGTTGTATGAAATTATAGCAGAAACCCTAATAATTAGTCAGTTTCTTACTAGATCTTGATTGGCGATGAACACTGAGGTTTTATAAGCTATAAATTTATCATTCAAAATATTTCAGCACAGTACAAGCTATGAATATTATTACTACAAGCAAGAGAGAGGTGACTATATGGCGTCTCAATATTCAAAAAATGTGTACGATCGAGTGGGATTGACGTTTGTAATAACCATCACGAAGCATATGAGTTTTTTACATACTATTTGCAATTTAATTTCTGTGATGTATCTGCAACAACAATATATGTGATGGTCAATAAATAATTTTCACGAGAGTTTGTTTTAACAAAATCCCTACGACAGAGACATTCGTTGGCCTCACTGTTGTTTGTAATGCAACTAGAGGTTATGTTTGATAATATAAGACACAATAATCAGATTGAAAATGTACAATAACATTCAATGGACAAGGGGTGTGTTAGTTTATGAAAAGGGGTGCGTTAGCTTATGATTTAATAGTGGTTTACAAAAAAACAATACCAAACCTAATAGAAATAAGAAAATTTTAACTATTATGAACTATCTTAAGCTAGGCTACTGGTCGGGCCGCCCGGTCCGGGGTGGCAAGACCGTGCAAGGACAAGGGAAGGTCCCAACAAAAAAAACAAATATTTTAAAAATTTTAAAAACAACTATATTATGCAGAACAATAAACTGAACAAGGTTTGTCGAATGGTCACATGGAGATTCTTTATCAAATTTAAAATATAAAATAAGATTATTAAATATTTTGTATTTATTTATTTATTTTGGCCCGACCGGGCAAGCTACCCCGACCCACTCTAGTAGCCTAGATCTTAAGCCTTTATGAATTGAAACAAATGAACTTCTTTTTTTTTCTCTCAAAGACTACATGTAATACGAAGATTAAAAACAGTTATAACGAGATCTTCAAAGCATTTTTTATGCATCAAAGCATTTTTTATAGCGAATTCAAACTATCGGGACAGATAACTAGTTAAAACGTTACGCAACATGATTTAAAGTTGGGTATATAATTATCAGCTATTTGTATTTGGAATAATATTGGTAATCGCTACAATTGTTTTTCAATCTTATAATATGTCAAATTTGTTAATTTACTATGGGATAATACCCATAAGAATATTAAAAAAAATATTGGTAAATTCACTTCAAAGCCTGAAGCAAACGAAGATCAATGGTAGATATCTTAATTAACATTGAAAATTGTGGTCTTTTATAGGAATCAAGGTGGTATCAGACTGTTGGACTCACGCAAATAAAATAATGCTTTGTCGGTAAAATGACTCGTGAAAGTCTTAAGCATGACGATAGACAAAGGATAGTTGGCGTTGAAAGTTTTAACCATGACGTAGTATTCTGTTTGTTTGGAGTAAGTTTTTTTCGACGAACATGGATCCACCTCTCTCTAAGGATACGGTTTTTAATCGAATTTTCGACAATTGACAACCTATGGTTGACATTGGTCATACACGTTTTGAAAAATTGAGGAAGGAAGATATTTTCGCACGCTTGTCATTCACTCATATGTCACTGCACTAAAAAACTCAAGTCCAGAGTTTTTGTGCAATGCTAAGAGTAAGCTCTTTATTATAGATAGGGATCTAGCTAGCTCTAGCGTTTCAGTTTTGAATCATTTTTTTTTATAAAATTTGTATATCGGAGATGAGGAAGGTAACGTCTTTTCTGCACATAATTCCTTACGATATTTTTGAAAATTTTTGATTGAGCGGGGTTTGTGAGGGTGA